TACAGATCAGCTGAAATTTAAGGTAAGTGTGTTAAGGTGGTCTTTTTATTCCCAAGGATCATTCGTTGTGGGCCAAAATCTGTTATATGAAGATATGACTGATCTTTCTTGAGAACACTGGTTTTTCCTTAATCTTTATGCCATAATCCATAATAAGGCTTTTTGCTAGAATCATTACTTTCCAAAGTAATCCAGAGGAGTACTCCACCACTAAGTTACATCCTAAGACCTTTGAGACTGGGTCTTGCTAAGTTGCCTTAACTGGCCTAGAAATTGTGATCCACCTGCCTCAGCCTCCCAAGTAGCTGGGATTACCAGGCATGCAACACTGCAATTGGCATGTGCTTGAAAGTTCTGAGAGTATGACTGAATGCCAAAGTAAAAAAGTAGCTCATTGCTAGTTATCAAGCAATCACTCCTATCTTTTCTTTTTAGGAAAACAACATTGAGGTATGGGAACGACCGCTCTCAAACTTAGCCTGGGCTGTAGCTATGACAAACCTACAGGAAATTGGTGGACCTCGTTCTTACATCATCTCAATTGCTTCCCTGGGTAAAGGAGTGGCCTGTAATCCTGGTTGCTTTATCACACAGCTCCTCCCTATGAAAATGGAGCTTGGGTTCCATGAATGGACTTCAAGCTTAAAAACTCGTATAAATCCCACAGGCACAGTTTTGTTTCGGCTAGAAGCAAAAAGAAGACTGCATCAAAAAGCTTAAATGTACTTTAAGCTGTATACTTTCTCCAAAGTGACTAGCCCACTTCTCTATTTTTTTCCTCCATTTCCACTTTAAAAAGCTCTGTTTCCTTGAATAAAATTTCTCAAAGTTGGAAGTTTAAAAGAGCTACTTCAAAAGTTATTCTAAAGAGAACTGTTTGGAGAAGGGCTTTTGAAACTAATGCACTAAGAAATAACAGCCATAATTCATTGGATACTTCTGTGCCAGATTCTAATAAATGCTTTCAAGGTGCTGATTTATTTTAACCCTCCGTCCTGAAGTAGGCAGTTATTCACTGTAGTACAGAACCTGGACTTAAACCCCAGCTGTTAATAACTACTGCCAAAAAAGGTACTTGGATGGTTCTACTTATAATTTCAGTGCAAATGGAAAATAAAATCTGCCATCTCAGTGAGACAAGATGATTGCCAGGTGAACTGTGATAAATTCCCAGGGTTATCTGTAATCTACATCTAACAAATAAAGGTGGCTTACTTTCACCAAGAATAACTAGATTTATGGCGCCCTTAAAATGAACTGTTACATCTCAAGGCCCCCTGAGGAGGCAGTGATCTTCAAACCTGGGATATCCAGACATGGATAATTGCAAGGTTAACATCTGGTCACTCTTAATTCACAACTGGTTTGCCTGAGAACATATCTGTAGCCAAGGCTGCTCCTTTTCCACCTCCCTTTTATTATAACTGTTCTCCAACATGAGCAAAAACAGAAGTATGAACCTCACCTGTCAGGAGCACTCTGGAAATAAGTCCTGAACAAGAGATCCTGAACAAGTATTAAACCCCTCAATAACTTGGGCTTAACCCACAGGAGCCTACATCTTTATTAATATTTCCCATTGCTCATTCTCCTACAGGAGAGAGATGGTGATCATTGGGAGTTATTGAGTGGCTCCACTTAGCTCATTCCTCTTAAAAGTCATTGACTCCATTTCATGATTATGTTGCTCAGTTGGTTATTAAAGGTAGAAAGCAAGTTTTACAACTGGTTGGATCAGAACCTGATATTATTATCCCTTATTCTATTCAACAGAATGTTTGGCTTTTCCAAACTTCTAATACTTGGCAAGTAGCTTTTGCTAATTTTCCTGGTTAGATAGAAAGTCATTATCCTCATGATAAAATTACTCAATTTGTTTTAGTAACTACATTTATTTTTACACAAATTGTGCATGCTCAACCAATAGTTGGGGCATTATCAGTGTTCACTGATGGGTCAAGTTCAGGTAAAGCAGGTTTATATAGCCATGCTCATATAGAGGTAATGCAAACACCATATACTTCTGCACAATGAGCAGAACTTCAGGCTCTCATTTATTCTTTAAATCATTTTGCAAATGAGTCAATATTTATTCTGATAGTTTATATGCAGTTTCAGTTAGAAAAATATTGAAACTTCACCTATTGGGTACACACCATCAAGAGAGTTATTCAATTTCTTTCATACCTTGCAGAAGACAGTTCAAATGTGTCAACATTTCATCTTTTATAGCTCATATACAACCCACACTAATCCTCCAGGGCCTTTAACATCAGATAAGATAAACTGGTTGCTGTTTGTCAGCAACTGTCATTGTATGACTGTGTACACACTTCATGTTCTTTGCATCATCAAAATGCATCTAGTTTGTGTAAAAAGTTTAATATTACTAGAGAGCAATGTGTCAAATTATACATCAATGCTCACAATGTGTTGTACACATTCTATCTTTACCATCTGAGGTAAATCCCTGCAGGTTACAACCAAATGGTATGGCAAATGTCTATAATTCAATTCCTCAATTTAGCCAACAATGTTATGTACATGTATACTTATTCCGGATTTATCTTTTGTGAGCTCTTGGACTCATAATACTTGGGAGTGGCTAGTTTCATTTATTGCTTCCATGGTCACAGCTTCAGTGGCCATCTCAAAATATTCAGCATGCAGATTTTCTTAATAATTTGGCTCAGAACACTTCCAAAGCTCTTTTTAATCAGATAAATATTGAGGAAAGGATTGAAGCTAAGTGAGATGCCTTAGAAGCTACTGTCATACTATTGGTAATGAGCTTTCTAAAAGTTCAAGGAAAGACTCAAATGTCATGCTGATTATAAATGCTTATTACTGCTGCCAAATACCTTGTTTCCTAATGGGATTGGGAGGTTAAAAACCATTTATTAGTATTTGGCAGAATAATAACAGCTTGGATCTTTTGGAGTTACATTATCATATTCAAGATATACAAAAAAGTGATTGATATTTCGGATCCTACTTCAAGAGTTAAATGGTTTTAATCCTGGAAACATAATGTTCTCTTTGCTATTAATCCTCTCTTGTATTGTAATCATATGTCACGCCTTCAGAACAAGAATTCAGGTATTTGCAATAGCAACTCATCACCTACTTTTTCAAAGAAAGAAGGGGGAATATGTTGGGAGCCACTCTGGAAACACACGCTTTTAAGTCCTGAGCAAGATACACTGAACAATTATTGCACACCACAATAACTTAAGCTTTACCGCTGCTTGGATAATGAGACATGGCTCCAGGAGTAGGTGTTACCTGGTGGGGTTGAGTTACACTCACCTGTTCCTTTGTAATCCTACCCCTTGCCCCTTTTTTTGGAGAGAAATTTCTAAGAAACAGCATTCCCCAATAAGAGACAACTGCAGAATGTGTGCTCCCTCTCTCATCAGCCTCTTGTGACTCTCTTGCCCCCCTTGTTGGAGCCTGAGGCAGGGAGCTGGGGAAGCCCTCCTGAAGCTCATATAAAAAGGTATTCTGTGTTTGCATGGTATTTTGGGTCACCCCAAATTCACCTGACTTTGGTTCAAAGATATTCTTTGTCTGCATGATATTTTGGGTCACCCCAAATTCACCTGAGTGACTTTGATTCAGTTGCCCGCACTTGGTGGGGGCAGCACTCACCCATTGTGAATGTTCATGCAATAGTACCAAAAGGGCCACCCAAAACAAAAATGCATGCTGGAATAATTATGCCTGTCATGTGATTTCACCAATTATTTTCATAAAAATTGAGAACATTCAGTTGATAAAAGCTGGAATAACATTGTTAAAACACAGGGGTGAGGTTGTGGCTTGGTGGTAGGGCACTTGCCTAGCACTGGGTTGGATCCTCAGCACCACATTAAAAAAATAATGTAAAGTATTGTGTCTGTCTTCAACTAAAAAAATTTATTTCAAAAAGTTGTTAAACACACTCATCAATGAATAGATATACTATCTATCCAATGATCTTCCTACTGATAAAACTGCCATATTTGTTTCACTGTAAAGTTCTGCTGCTGAAATACAAAGAACTAATTTTAATCAATAAGACTGAAATGTAGGAGTAAAAGAATGTGTAACTTAAAATGGAGAGAATATACTTGGTTAAGGTTTCTTTTGTTTCAACCAGAGATTGAACCCAAGGACACTTAACCTCTGAGCCACATCCCCAGATTCTGTTTTAGGCAGAATCTTGCTAAGTTGCTTGGGGGCCTTGCTAAGTTGCTTGGGGGCCTTGCTAAGTTGCTTGGGGGCCTCGCTAAATTGCTGAGGCTATGAATTTGCAATCCTCCTGCCTCAGCCTCCAGAGAGGCTGGGATTACAGGCATGCACCACCATGACCTGCTGCTTAAGGTTTCTTAAGGCTATCAATACACTGGAAAGTTTGTAATATTTTACACTTATCCCAACATGATAAAAATGTCTACTTTAAAATGTTAAAAGGGTAGCCTCACCAAGTGAGGTGGCACACACTTGTAATCAACTACTCTGGAGGCAAAGCAGAATGATCCCAAGTTCAAGGCCAACCTGGGCAACTCAGAAACACCCCATTTCAAAATAAAGGGCTGGGGCTGAGTGACAGAGCACTTGCTTAGCAAGTAAGAAGCCCTTTGTGCAATCCACAATACAGTCCTCCCAAAAGTTTAAAACTACAATGGCATGTCAAAATGATTAATTGGGGAGTCTGGAGACCTTTTATACATTATACAACACATACTCTGCCTAGGTTTTTTTTTTTTTTCAGTGCTGGGGATTAAACCAAGAGCCTTACATGTGCTGGGCAAACAGCACTATACAACTGAGCTATATATCCAACCCCCCAAAATCCTTATGAAATGTGTAAGTACCAGAAGTATAAGATTATTTTTTATCTCGGTAAACTTTTTCTACTTAGATAAAATGAGAACCAATAACTTTTGCTTAACAGCAAGTGGGGTCCCATGAACACACAAAGTGCCAAATTAAATAATCACACATTTGATATGAGCTCAATCAGTCAAAATGTAATACTCTAAACCATAATCACAAATTTCCCAGAACACCAAATGCAACCAAATTAAGCGAAGATAACCTCAACATTTTATTATCTTCATAACAAAACAAATGATGAAGCTTAGAACTGGATCACTTGGCCCTGTAATGAAGCAGAAAAAAAAAAATACTGAGTTTTGTATTTTGGAAAGAACCACCACTCCATCAATAACATCTTTTCTAAGAGATAATCATGCTATGTATGTTGAAGCAAGTTTCCTCATTCTTCCTTTCCTACTTACAGCAAAACCAACACCAAAAACCTTACACTGAAATCTGAAACTTTCTAAGTATGATACTTAACAAGTGTTAGATTTCAAATACTGGGTTTAAGGATGCTCAACCAGTTAAATCTATGTAAATATTCCCAAATCTAAAAAACAATTCTGGTCCTAAGCATTTCATACAAGGGATACATAACCTGTACTGTCAGCTATGGATAAACATAATAGAGCTATAAATAAGATTATACCTTTCTCTTCTTATCTCCTCCCAGTTCAAAATGCTTGCATCTCTTAATAGCCAGCATTCTTTTAGATCTGCAGTTAGGCTCAACACACTCAAGCCTCAGCACAATCTTCTTTGTAGTTTTAGCCTGGAAAAAAAGCCATATCCTTCATAAATCCTTGCAGAACATCACTTTCTGGATAGGTATGGTGGCACACTTATAATCATCACAATTTGGGAGGCTGAGACTATAGGATTTCGAATTCCAGAACAGCCTCAGCAACTTAGCAAGACCCTGTCTCAATTTTTTTAAAAAAGGAGGGATAGAAATTTGTTAAGGATGCCCAATAGTGAAGCATCCCTTGGTTCAATCCTTGTGCTAAAAAAGGAATAAAAAAAGAAAATTAGGGCTGGGGTTGTAGCTTGGTGGTAGAGAGCTTCCTAGTACTTGTGTGGCACTGGGTTTGATCCTTGGCACCACATAAAATTAAAACAAAATAAAGATACTGTGTCCCTCTACAACTAAAAAAAAAAAATTAAAGAGTCCATGTTTATCTTAAAAAAGAAAATTACTTTTTAAAAAAATGAATATGTTGGGTTCAACACTACTTAAAGCTTTGCAAATGATAGTTGCCATTTGTCTTTGGCTATAAGGAGAAAGTAACATAGTAATAGCAAAAATGGCAGGTTATCCAACTGTCATCAAGTTCTACTAATATCCATCACATCAAATATCCTACAGAGTTTATTAGACTCTCATTATGCCACCTTGAACTTCTGGCCTCTCAGCAGAATGCTGCATAGTTCATATATATTTCATATAATCAAAAAGGAGTGAACCAAGTTTTGTAACTATGTAATAACACAACTTTTCTAATTCATTAAATAGGGTAATATCAATTCTCGCAAGATTGCTTACATCTAAAATTCATGCACATTTGATTGAGTTATCTAACCACTAATAAAATTTTTAGCCTTCCCCTTTAGTCAGAGCTCTGCTGCTCATCTGCAGTTCACAAAAGATCAAGACCTAGACAGAACCTAGACAAGTTATATAAAAGTGAAAAAACATTCAAGCATTCTTTTTACCAGCTTATAGTCACACCATTTATTGAACTCAAGTTACTCTTTAATATTTTCTGGAACCAGGCTGGATGAAAAGAAATGTGTTAAGAGATGCAGTGCTGGAGCAAATCCTATGTTCTAGGCACTGTGCTAATTAAGAAAACTCAGCCTGAGAATAATATATTATTCACAAGGCTAATGGAAGCCTAAATTACTATTGAAAAGTTTGAAGGCTTCGTGAAAGAGGTAGCAGACTGAGAAGCCAAATGAAATTTTTTTTTTTGCAATTCTGGGGAAATTGATGAATACTGGCCTTCACCAAGCTAATAAGCAAAGGCTCTTCCACTGAGCTATAAACCCAGCCCCAAATAACAATTCTTACTACACTGAGGAGCTGAGAATTCAGACCTGATGATGGGAGGAGGCAAAATGAAAGGACTTACTGATGTACTAAAACTTCAGTTCTTAGGAAACAGGACATAATCCTTGTTTTTGCCTCTTCCAAAAGAGGACAAAAAATGTAAACGATCTGTGCAGTCCTGTGTCTGTCAGACATCCGGCTCCACTGCCTAGTACATGTCACTGCAGGCACTTGCAATAACTTTGATGAGATTAATGCTATGTGTGTGGGATAGAGATGACAAACGCAAGATCCTTCCCACACATAATAAGGTCCATGTCAATTCATAATCACCACTAACCTTTTTCCTGAAAATTGGCTTGGTCTGCCCACCGTAGCCACTCTGTTTCCTGTCATACCGCCGCTTTCCTGGAAAAAGACGTTGTTTGTTATGGTACACTAAAGATCATAAACCACGACAGACACATGGAAAAAAGTCCTTTGGGTTTTATCTTGAGCTTCCCAGATTAGTGCCTATGTGAGGGCCAGGTGGCGGAAAGGACACCATACTGGGCTCTCCACACACCCCTTCATAAATACCACATCAACACCAAATTAGGCAGAAGCCATCTTACCCTGTGCATACAGAGAATCCTTGCCCTTCTTGTACTGTGTCACTTTATGGGGTTGGTGTTTGCCACATTTCTTACAGAACGTCCGGCGGGTCTTAGGAACGTTCACCTAGTAAACACACCATTCACAAAACGTATCAGACCAAAATGGCCCAATTGCCTCACTGACTCAGCTGCAGGTGAGGAATCCCTCGCCAACTTGATTCTAACTCCTTGCTAACACGCAACGATCCTGTGGCTGCAAAATGTGGTCCAGTCCCATGTGCTTCAAGCACAGCAACCTCTATTAGGCCCCAAAGAGGGAAGAAAGCTTATTAACCTCACCCACGGCTAAGTCTACCTCATAGACCCCATCACTTCAATTTCAGCTCCCAGAGCCTGGTCTCTTCAGGATCTATCCCAGTAATGCTGGGTTTCATTGGGATATCGGGGCCACGCAGGGGCCTGGAGCCACCACAGGACAGTACCGTTTACGCGGCGGTAAGGATTAAGCTGGATGTTACCGGGTCCAAACCCAACGTCCTACCATGTTTGCGGCAGCGTTATCGGCAAGGAAAGAAAGAAAGAGGGCCGGAAACGGAAGTATATAGGAGGTTCCGGCTCGCACTTTCTCGTGGGAATCAGAGAGAGCGACGAAAGAGTACCAGGTTCATGGTGCAGCGACCTCTGGCGGCTGAGAGGACTGGATTCCTAGCCGAGGGTGGGAGCTTCAAGGAAGGGCTCTCTTCTCCTCCATTTCCTCCAGCCTCCAGACTTTGCAACTTTTCATTTTTGGCGGGCGTTGCTACGTAGTATCGTTAAGTGAAGGAAGCAGGGCTCTTTCCAGACTTTCTGGCCTCCCTGTCCCTGAGGGAAGCCGAGACCAGGGTAGAGTGGAGGAGCTCTTCATCTCTGCATTTTATTCCTGTTCCACCTCAGGTATGCTGGGAGCATGTTTCACAGTGAATGGTTCAAAGAAGGAATTGGAAAGAGCAAATTGCGCCAGTTAATTTATCACGTGGTCAATAGGTCTATTCAACAAATGTTTATTGAATGCCTATTCTGTGTCAGGCACTGTTCTAAGGGAGGGACACAATAATATACTCAGAAATATAAAATTATGAATTGAGTTCTTCAAAGAAAAGGAACAATGATCCATATTAAAGCAACACATTTAGCTGATGGAGTTAGTTGGCTGCTGTAGGTTAGGGTAAGTGAAATTGAAATCGTTCAGCTCCTGCAACAGTAGTTAGCAGGAGATGAACTCTAGGTTTCAAGGCAGTTCAGCAGAGGAAGGCTGAGGGTATTGAGCTTCAAAATGGATTGTCTACTACAATTCTCACAGTAATTCTAGGTTAACAAATTGAGGCCATGTAATGTTAAGTGATTTACCCAATGTCAACAGTATTTAATAGATCCAGGATACAAATCTGAGTAGTCTAACTCCAGAGCCTGGGTTCCTTTACAATTAGGCAATACCGCTATTGTGGCCTGCTAATTATAATACCTAACAATTATGGATCACTTATGTGCTAGATATTCTCCCAACCACTTTGCATACAACCTCTTGAAAACCACCACAGGAGGCTTGTGCCATTATTAATATGTATCAGGAGAGAAAACTGAGGTATAAGGAGCATTAAACTCACTTATCTGAAATCACACAGGTTATTTTTTAAGCTGGAATGTGATCTTAGGTCATCTAACACTATAGCCTTGCACTTAACTGCTGTACCACACAGGTGAAGCAGGGATGTCAGCAGGGTAGAGAATAGTAAGGACAGAGAGTTGGATTGGGATGCAGGAGGAGGTGGCAGTGGATTAGGGTATAAGGAACTATGAGAGCCTAAAGTATCCTGTTTGCTCCAGGAATGCCAATGAGTCCTGAGCTGACTCTCTGATCACTCCTTTTTTTATGATCTCGGGACTAAGTTATTAAAAACATTACCATTACCTGCTACATTTTTTTTAAGTTTCTTTGCCAAACTGCCAGCTTGAAACCTCACAGCATCTTCTTCTCTCCAGACTTTAAAGCAATGATACCGGTCTTTAGGGAATTTCTAAAGGTTTGTATGTCAATTGCATGGAAATATGAAGATAGAAAACATGGGTCCTCTTCTTCTAATCAACCTTTGTTCTATCATTCCCTATGTGGCATGACTTAAAGTTTTTTGAGTTTTTTTTTTTATTGCTGTTGTTTATTTTAAAATATTTAATTGAAAAATTACATATATTCAAGATATCCAGTGTGATTATTTGCTATTCATATAAATTGTGTAATAATTATCAGAGTCAAGTTAACACATCCATCATTGCCATTTTGTGCATGTGTAGGAATAAGAACACTTAAATCTGTTATCTTATCAAATTTCAAGTAAACGGTATAGTATTAACTGTCATCACATGCTATATATTAGAGCCCCAGAACTTATTCATCTATACATCAATCCTGATCTCTGTTTTGGAAATGATCTTGTTTATTAATTTTCCCATAAAGTGAGGCACTCTGAATTTAACACAAGACTGTAGTTGTGACCTTGTCTTGCAGAATAGGTAGCATGTTCACTTTTCTCTTTCTTAATTCTACAAGGAAATCTAATGTTACCTTGGGTTTTTGGGCAACCATCTAACTGATGTGACATATTTCTTGATAACTATCTGCAAAAACCCTGAACCATTTTTACAAATGTTACTGCTCCCCTAGTTTTACTTGGAGTCATTTTCTTGGAATGGGAGGATGGTAACTGGGAATTGAAACCAGCAGCACTGGGCTGGAGATGTGGCTCAAGCGGTAGTGCGCTCACCTGGCATACGTGTGGCCTGGGTTCGATCCTCAGCACCACATACAAATAAAGATGTTGTGTCTGCCGAAAACTAAAAAATAAGTATTAAAATTCTCTCTCTTTAAAAAAAAGAAACCAGTGGCACTTTACCACTGAGCTATATCCACAGTTCTTTTTATTCATTTGTTTATTTTAATTTTGAGACATGGTCTTGGTGAAGCTGGCCTCCAACTTGAAGTCCTCCTGCCTCTTTCTCCTGAATTGCTGGGATAACAGGTGTGCACTACTGTGCCAAATTTACCTGAAGTCATTTGAATTTCAAAGTTTAGGCTCAGTTATAGGGCATCACCCTTAGGCCTGGTAAAATACCCTTTGTTGAATTTGACTTCTCACACCAGGTGGTCAAGGATCTTTTTGGACCTGAGTCTGTCATTCCAAGTAGTTCATACAAACTTGCACTACTCAGCACTATTCAGACTAGATAGGCTACTTTATCTGTCTTTCTCAAAGAAATATTGAGCAGGATAGCACCAAGAACCAAACCTTAATATTACATTGGGAATCTGAGGTGACACTTAGCCATTCATTTGCACTATTTGAGTACAGTAGTTTGATATGGACAAGTGTGCTAGAGGAGCAGTTATGGGCATTGGGTGAAGAGCCTAGGTTCACTTTGTCCTTTCCCTAGTCCTCCTCTCTGTCTGGATTTCCGTTTTGTGCATATCAACTCCCAGTTCCCATCCCAAGATGAACCTGGGCAAAAGATGAGGCATGTGATAATAAGCAGCATCTGGCTGAAGAAAAAGTGAGGCAAGGTAAAATGCAGTAAGTACCTGTGGCCAACACTCAGGCAGTGAATGGAGCAGCTATTTCAGGAGACTAATGAAAGAATATATATAATTTGTCAATAAAGTAGGGAGATCTGTACAACACTCACTGCCCATCTGTCTTGTGCAGATATGAAGATTAATCACTCTATCATCCTACCAAAGTTTATCTTTTAAAAATACTGTTGCCTTAAAAATTCTGATGGACTCATGGGAACTGTGATCCATTTCTACATTAGGGTACAGCACTACAGGGCAAGAAAATATGGGAGTGCCACATAAGTTAAGGTGGGCAAGCAGATCAGTTACAAGGGGTTCTGCCATCACCAGGGTCTGCAGGCAACACTGTTTGCATTTCCTCAGAGAATCTTGAGGGAGAAGATTGTAGTTGGAAACATAGCCTGGGAGGCTTCTGTGGAAACATCCAGGCTTCAAGTAACACACATAAGTCTTGTTTCCTGTTTTATAGGATTAAAGAGAAAAGTGTTATTTGTTAATCCCTGAGGCCAAATCTTAAATGGAGAAAATCAACATTCATGGAAAATGGGGAAGGGCATGAGTCTTTGTGTGGGTTTACATCTTGGCATTTTTATCTGTAGAAAAAAAAAGTGCTTTCTTAGAAAATGACTCAGCAGGGGAAGTCTTGTCTGTACCTTTGTCAGGCTGCGTACTTTTGGGTCCCTGTCTGAGTACTCTCCTTCCTTTACTATAGAGTTTAATTGTGTGACCCTGAGTCTCCTGCCTCAAAGGAGGTAGACTCTAAAGACACCCCTCTTGGGCAGTCCCTTTGTTCTGCACCATATTTGGCACACACACACCCCCAAGCCTCCTTTCTCTGTGCTATTTCCATAATCCTTTATCTCAAGATGGGCAGCCTGATGATCTGACTACTCATCCCAGCCCCTTGTAGAGTCTCAGTGGCCCTAGTAATGTTGAGAAATATTCTTTCAGAGCTGGACTCAAGATAGTAGTGTCAGAGGTCCCAACCAAATGAGGGGCGGGGACAATTGTGGGGGTGGAATAAGGACAGCAGCAGGGAACCAGATACCATGCTGCTGAGAAGAAGAAAAAAAAAGACATTGGTTTAAGTCAGGAAACAAAAAAAGGGAACTGAGTGGCTGTGAAAGGGTGGGGTTTGCTCAGACTGTCCTTCCTCTCTGGACTGTAAGAATATGTCTCCAGAGCCAGTGTCTTCGGAGATCGAGTGCTACCTTCCAAGTCCTGGCATCTCAATGCATCTGGGAAGCTACCTCCATTAAGTCAGAACCAAGGTGGGTCTGGGGAATGGCAGGGGATGGACAGCAGCAGCAGCAAGTACCTCTCTTGGGACCCCTTAAGACCAGAGAGAAAGCATGGCTGATGCCATATATTTGCTGGTAGAGGAGGCTGGTGGAGGGTGGGAGTGTCATCAGCACAAGGCCCCAGCAGTCTGTTCCAGTGATGAGAGGGGCTATATGGGTCCTTTCCAGAGAGGGCTGTGGGGGGAACAGGAAGAGAAAAAAGTTATCTGAGGTGACCATCTGAACAGGTAGCGAATGTTGGAAGGGGACACCTCTGCAAAACATGCTAGAAAAGAAATAATGCAGTTGGCAGTAAGGTTAAAAAAAAAAAAAAAAAACTTTGGTCAAATATCACTTGAAGACTCCAAATATATATTGGGTCAATGAGGCCCTTAGATGAAATTCTAAGAGGCAACCTATCTAGGAAAATGGTAAATGCTCACATGCACAATAAACAGTGCAAGCTGGGGAAAGGCCCTGGCTAGACTAAGGTGCTAAGCTACAAGCCTTGGTCTGCATCAGGCCCAATATCGCCAGGATCAGATCTGGCTGGTTGAAAGGATTGTGTGGATGCTGTGCCAACCTCATGGTAATAGTGGATAAGAGACTGGGCCAGAATAAAGAAGCCTCCACCTCAGCCCAGGCAGTGTGGCCAACCCTGAAGATCATGGTGAAGATTTCTCTTCCTACCATTGCCATGTGCACAGCTTACTTTTCTCCTGTCTTCATTATTTATCCTCTCATTTCCTCTCCATTTCTCCTTTCCTTCATCTTCTCTTCCTTTCTCTACCT